AAAAAAAAAAAAAAAAAGAGAATGACAGAAATAAAAAAATTCAGAAACATTTAAAATTCCTTCCATTTCTAAGATTTTTCTTTTCTATCATTCTTGTTTTTCCAGCTCTGTGCAAGTACCGTTGAAGCCTTTCCAAGACTGATAATCTTCAAAAGCAATAAAATATATTTTCCTTTTTTAGTCAATCGGTTAATGTTGGAATTGCATGATCGCCTTTAAAACAATTAGCCAAAACTTCACTTATTTTTTTTTAACTTAAATCACAAATCTCTTTTAAATAGTTACATGTTACTTTGGCGTTTTTTAGTTCATAGACTATTTGGCGAGACTATGAGACCGGTCTTTTCTGCGATAAAAATTTTCCCACTCTAATCGCAATGATGTCGTGATTCCCGCATAAAAGGATAATTTCCAATCTCTCATTTTCACCACGGTGTCTCCACAGCTCCCAGCGAAATAGTCATGTATTTCTCCAAAGACAAGGGAAAAAAATCTGTGTTGATCAAAACACTCAAGCAATATTTATAAAATCCTTTCAAAGAAATTCTGTGGTTGGTAGAATACTTCCTTAATGGACTTGGAGTAGTGCTATTGTAGCATAAATTATTCAATAGGAGGATTAAGTGGTGAATAAAGAGCCTGGACGTACGAGTCCACAAGGAGTTTTTGACATAAAATCACATCTATTCTGGTCTTCCTTCTCTTCAAAATTGACCAACGCAAACCACAGATTATATATTTATTTTTAAGTGCAATCTTCATTGAAAAGCAGATAAAGCTTGGTAGATAAAAAAAAGTAATTTCAGTCAAGATCGAAAGAGTTAGCAGTTTTCGTGCTTGCAACAAATCAGGTTTATTCCTATCGAGTTGATAGACTTCGAAACATCCTGGTCAAAACTATTGATTGCTTTGACGATGTGAACACCTACAAAGACGTATCGCTGGGGCTTTSATTTTCCTTTTATACCTATAGTCGTGTTGAAGCTACTCTAATTAGGTTTAACTTCAATGAATTTCAGTGTACCGAGTTTGAATTTAGTGCCTTTAGCGATCAGATAGCTTCGACATAACAGAATAAGTTGCTTGTGTATCTTTACTCTTTCAGTCTCAACGAGCGGATTTAATTATGAAAAACACCTTGGGGCGATAATATTTTTTAAACTAAAGTTTCCGTTTTCAAAGCCGTGTATTTCCAAAGAAATATGGCTTCCCTCTTAACGGTTTCAAATCCTCTTGTAAATAACACTATTGTGTAAAGTTTAAAAATGTCTTTTAAATCCATCGTAATGAATCTTCAATCAGCTTAGAAAAACGTGTTTGAGTTTTGATCGAAATCTATGCTGAAAATGTTCCTCACTCGTTAAGACAATTTCATAACTTCTTTTCGGGGTCTCATTTCATTAAAAAAAAAAAAAAAAAAAAAAAAAAAAATCAAAGTTTGATTTATTGTACCTTAGATTGAAATTAAAATTACTGTTTTTTGAATAGTATTGACAAAAGAAACACGTCCATTCTCGTCAGTTAATGTACATCCATAACAGGTGAGACCAACTTATTCCTAGCTAGTCTAATAATACTTCCAGCTATCTATTTACCAATTCCCGCTGGTTGCTTCAGAGTTTCAAATATGCAAATGGCCACATACTTGTTTTAGAGACACCGAGAGAGGAAAATATTCAATATAAAAGTGTACTTTAGCGGGCGATCAGAAATCTTTGTGGTTTTCTGTGAAGGATTCTTAGTACTGACTTTGAAATTTGTTTAACAATTGATGTGCACTAATGCGTCTTTGGTTTTAAGGCGAATGAATTCATGGTTGAATGAATGGCTCCGCTCGCTTTTAACAGTTTTGAGTGAGATCATCTAGTGTGTTCAAGGACAATATCAAACGTTGATAAACTACGTCAAAAGTAAACACAAACTCGACCAAAAGATCTCTCGAATTTCTCCCCCAAAAAACACTGTTGGCAATGAATCGTTAAACTCAACAGAAACCCTTTAAGTAATAGCCCTGCTCTTAAGACTCGCCCAACTCACATGTCATATCTTATATAGTTTATTGCTATCGCTAAGAATAAATTTAATTGATTACTTACTTTAAAGGAAAAAAATATCGGAAGTGCTTAAAAGGATAAATCAGAAAAGCGATGCGAGAATCTCAAGGATTTTTTACAGACTTCCCAGTTAATAAGCCCCAAACAGACAGATTCTTTCAGAGATATTGAAGATCTTACCTTTTGACTCAACGCCCAGTGCATTATCGATCTTACGAATTGCCTTTTGTGATGGCGAAGGGATCTTTTGAAGCTCGTCCGTCGTGCTTGGAGCTACTGTGATTTGACGTTTAGGTTGAACATCTGCGTCTTCTGGCGATATYGAAGAACGAGCTTGAAGTCCAGGATTTGATTCTGGTGCCTCACACTCTACAAGGATGAGATTTCCATTACTACTTCCAGTACTGCTACAGTCTTAAGTTACAAGTGAATAAAAAATAATTTGAGGATAAAAAATGAAAAAAAAAGGAATAGTTTTGAAAAATATTAAGATCTTTTAAGTTGCATGGGGTAAACAGAAACTTCGTTTTTGAGGCCATAACAACTCGTAATCAAAAGCTAGGAATTCTTATATGCCACATTGAGCTGCGTGCAAAAAGAATTTTGTAGTCAGAAGAAAACGAGCTTTTTWAACATTTTTTTAAAAGAAAAAATACGAGAAGCCACTAAAGTGCTTCGTGATTTTCAGTAAAGGAAAATGATTAAAGTGAAAATTTAAACAAACCTGGTTTAATGGACTTGGGAGTAACTTCAACGGACTCTTGCATCCCGGTAGAGGTGCGGATCTTTTTACGCACAAGAAAAGACTTCGGCATGATTTCCAAAACTGCCCGCAGATATTTCCAGTGAGTTGTAAAACTTCTCTGTGCTAAGGGCTGATTGAAAATACTTTAAGGTAGTTTTCCTGTTCTTGTAAGGATTCCGCGATGAAACTGGTTTCAGTTAAAGCAGCTAAATCTTAGGACTCGGAGCTGGAGTCGTGTAACCCACGAGACGTTGTCTAAACTGAAAACTTATTTACCACGGAACCCATACAAGTGTTACAGTGATTAGTGAGTGACAGATGTCCGTGGCTCATAATTGAGTAATGACATCACACGAGTGATGTGATTGGGCGAAAAATCCTGCCGCTCCCTGCACTAATAAACTGCCAGCAACTGATTTAAGAGTTATTTTTCCAAAAAAAGGAAATTGAGGTTTGCATTGATTAGAAAAATAATCAAAGAGATCTCATCAATACTCTTTGTGGTCAGAATCAAAATCAATTGATGAAATTTATAACACAAACGCTGATACGATACGAACATTAGCAATATGTACATTGTCGTCTATTAGATAAATAAAACGCTGGAGTTAACTTGAAGAGATTTTTCGTCTGCAAAAATCATAAATATTGCTTTCTTTAGATTCATTTCTTGAAAATTTTAAAAAATTATAGCTGTTAGAAGGGAAGATTAAGTACACTTTTAGGCCTTTTCGCCACACCCCAGAACCCGCAAACGAGCTATGGGCGTGAACTTCAACAGCTGAAGAAATCACAATTGATTAAATAAGGATTTTTTTTTACTTGAACACCAAACCAATATAGGAGTTTTATCAATTTGCCATGATTTTATTCACTTTAAATTCATCAAACTAGTCCACTTTTGAAGGATCGTAATCGAGGTTTTTGAGAGCTTCAATATTCTGGTCAAAGCTTCAAGATGTGTATCAACAAGGAACGCCGGCATTCAAGCACCTAACGGCAATAAAAGTCGTATCTTGGCATTTTTTAAAGTACTCTCACGCACGTAATCCAAATCTTACACGCGTTTACACAATATTTTACAATCGCCTCTATTATTTTATTAATGAGCGAAGCGTGCAGCCTTTATTCACACTCTAGTGGCTTTAAGATACACGCTACACGGGCGCATGTCCTTCATTGATATTTGAGCTAATGAATTTAAGGTTTGGGGGCAATTAGTGAGCGGTACTGAAATGGGCTACCTCATGTAGCTAGCTGCGCTCAAGAAATCTTTATAACACCTAAGACATTAATATAAATTTGACGGGAAAGCGTTAAACTTTAGCTTTCGAGTTTCCCTCAGGGCTGGTTTGCTGAAGATGGAAGGTCATTTTGAAGCTCTATTCTCCACGCGATTTCCGTGCTTTTCGATTTTTTTCTTCTCATTCAGTCCTTTTCTATTTCARATGGACTAAAATCACGTGAGCGTTGTTTTTTTTTGACATTAGAGAAGCAGATAGCCTAGATATTGTGTGTGTTGGAGAAAGGCCTTATCACTCAAAACACTTAAAGAACTCTCCTTCTGACTAAATCTCAATAGAACTTGAGTGACTCTCTTCGACAGACAAACTTAAGAGAAAAACACTCCAGTTTCAGGAATTAGCTACCCTTTGAAGTTTGTGGCGCGAGCTTTGAATTAAAAACTCAAACAATAAAACCGACAAGACTCTAGCCTGAAGAGGTAGTTATCGCAAGTGATTAAATATGGACTTCACTTAAGAGCAAACACAGATAAAAAAATGAAGCCAGATATTGGAGGCTTTTAGTCCATGCTATGAAAGCAATTTTCAAATTCTAAGTGTGTGTTTCAAACGCTCTTGAGTAAATACGACACAGACCGTAAGAACGATAAGTAAAGTGGTCAAAAAAGAGAGAAAATACTATGTTCTTGAGAAAATCAGGCTGACTAGAGCGAAGGGCCTATCTTCACGGAAGCTTAGTTGAGTGGAAACTGATAACTGATACGTTGACTACGATTCTGATTACCATCCAGATTTAAAATCTTTAGAAATCAAAAACGAGGGATTGAAAGGGCATTTATCACTTTTGGCCGGCAAGAAAGCTTGCGGAGTCTGGCGGGTTGTTGTGTTTGAACATAAAAACAAATTCTGTACCACAAAATACCATTAGGACAAGTTGTTTTTTAGGCTTAAAGTAATTCAATCGGATTATTTTGACTCCCTTTTCTGTTTTTATTTAATGTAGATATATAAATGTCGGTGATAAAGAATTCAACGATTAGCTATACCGACAAACCGACTGTTTTTCGAAGAATCTTCCTCAGTTCAATTAAATCACAATATTGATTCATTTAGCTAACCAACTTAAGATTTTAACCATTCAAACTATTTAAAAAACAATATTTTGGTATTTTCTTTGAGTTTTCTTGAATACAGACGTCGTTGAACACGGCAATTAAACTGTATGTATAATGACTGAGCTTTGGATTGAATTTTTGCAGTGACAATCGAAACGTCTGCCAAGACAACATTGGAAGATTGATTTAAATGTTGTTGTCATCGCCCTTAATTTAATATAACTTGATTCCTTGAAGGTTTGACGAGTTAATGATGGTGGCGAATGGATGCAAATGAGAGCAGACGGCTTTTTTATTCTTTAGATACCACAGAAGCTACTTCAAATGACAAAATGAAAAGCGTTGATGTTTTTAAACGCTAATTGGTTTTGATTAAACTTTTTCACTTCCACAAAATAGTCATGAACTGAAATACTTGGACTTCGAAATGAAATCGAGAATGAAGAAAAAATTAAAGGAGAATGCTATGAAAGTAATTTCGATTTTTATCGAAGTTTCACAATGATAGGAACCAAAAAGAGTCCGGCAGAGTTGATCAAAAAGAGTCATTTTGATTCCTGTGGAGAGAAATCGTATCCATCAGGACCACAGCAAAGAAACAATTCTACAACTTACTATTCAGTCTGCTATGCGCTTGAATGACTCTCGATTAACCGGTGAAGATCTCATGTCCAACGAGGTTATCACTGAGTACCTTGGACCGAAATTACACTGAAACGCAAATAAGACAATTTAAAATATTAGAGTAACTAAACCTGTATTAAAATGGCTAAAATAGAGCATTCCAAACCGTATACATCTTTTTATCTTTCTCTCTTCATTTTATTCATTCATTTATTTTCTTGTTCATTAGTTCGTTAGTTTTAAAATTATCTATTTTTTCCTTATTTCAAAAAAAATTCGTCTTTAGAATACGCTAAAACTAAACCAAACTAAATATCGAACCCTGAAACAACCTCTGGGATGATCTACGTCCGCAGATCGAAATTAGAAATAAGCAAGTTCGGCCTTCGGTGAAAGTAAGCTGCAAAAGAGCTAAACTGAATTTCAGTGATCACAATTTAACTGAGCCAAGCAATAAAATAAAAATAAAAAAATAAAAAAATAAAAAAAATAAAAAATAAAAAAAGAAGAAGAAGAAGAAGAAGAAAAAAAGTAATAAAAATTGTAAAAAATAAATTCTACAAATTCTATAATAAATCAGAAGCTTGAAAAATAACGACAATTTATATCCATCTTTAAGCAATTCCTAGATTTTCCATTAAAAGGTACGGTAATTTATAAATCCCTCTAGGGATATGCGACATTAATCTTACGTATCGCTTTCGAAGAATCCTAATATGGACTATTCGAGTGGTCTACTACCGGTGTTTCTAGGGTAATTACAAAAAAAAGTCTAATTTCTAATTTTTCTTAACCGGTAGTGATCGAGCATTTTTTTCTACTTTTTTCCTCGGTAAACAGGAAGACTAGTGATTTCTATTCGAGTGCTAAATGCAAAGACAACCTGGTTCGAATTCTCGACGTTTTTCTAATTGTTTTGCTATTTGATGCTTTGAAATTAGACTTTGAGGCGAGACGTGACAAATTTTAAGGTAATATGGTTAATAAGCTTGTTCGATAAAAAAAAAAATACTTGATCGAAAATTTTAATTTTAGCTTGTGATTGATTTTGCTAAGGTTCATTATTTTTTTACTTATCTATAACTTAGTTTAGAAAACAGGGAAAATAGAAAAACTAGACGGAAAATTAGCTGCAGTAAAAACCAGTAAAACCAGTTTGATGTATTCAATAAACTTCAAAAGATAAAAACGACCAAAAAAACAAGTGCTTCTTTGGCCATATTAGTTGAGTTGCCATTAATACATCGTAACTTATATTCTCCTCACAAAAGCAATCAGCTTCATCGAAAAAATGACCTATCTGATTGTTTGTAAAACTATGCTTACAAAATAAAGTTTCAAAAGAAATGAATTATGAGTTTATTTTTGCTATTGTTTTGGATGTAAAGTTACTTAAAGATGAAAAGGAGCTATTGAAAGGAATAAATAGCTCGGAATGAATGAAAACACACACAACACGTGGTGAGAACAATTTGCACGCGTACAACCACTTAGACTAGGGCAATAATTATAACTAATGATTTAGTTTGATATGTTCGGGTCATTAATACTGAAATGTTTTATTTCTTTTTTGAAGAAGCGTTTTAAATCTCTTTAAGGAGCTTTTCTATTGCCACGTCYCTTCATTGATACACAAAAAAATGGTACTTAAGCGCAAGAGTGTCGTGTGTGTGTGTCTTAACGGTCTTTTCTCGCGCTTTAGTCTCGGTAATCTAACCAAGACAAAACAACTCAATTGACAATTACGATATTATACAGTTCAAACCTAAATTTCACGATGGATCGCCGAAGAAGTATTTTTTTACGCGACATAAATTAACCTTAGAGCAAACTCTGGAGTTGCCGTATTGGAATTTGAGGCCGGAAAATTGCCTGTTTAGATGAACAACTGTGAAAAGTCCTTTAATGTAAAATACGTTTCTGAAAACATATCGTTTTTAATTCGCTAACAAACGGAAACCATTTCAGGACAATCTTGACAGCAACATGAAAGAAATGATTATGAATGACAGATGTCAATCAAGGCAATATGGTACTCATTTCTGAAACCCTTTAAATGCCAAATGAAAAAATTTTCAACCGTCAAGCCTCCATTTTAAATTTGATTTTCATCGTAAATTTATCATTGTTAAACTGCTTTTATATCATATGTCATCGTTATGCATTAGAAAAAATTCGTTAGAGATTGTTAATGACTAAGAGACCATAAATAAAACTGCGAGTCATTGGTGGCAGACTTAAAGTTTTAAGAACTTACAGTCGGATAGCAATAACATTTAGCTTTAAGTGCGTCTTATCAAGTTTTTTTTTTACGCTTGTAAACAACCTCACCCAGTAGAAAACAAAATACTGAAGGTTTGTAGAAATGCATAAAAAAATTCAAATGAAAATAAAAAAG